AACAAAACAAAACAGGGCAATTTTCAAATGTTCATATGAGAGTCCATTGGAGTTTCTTGACAAGAACTTCCAAAAGCATCCCTCTATTGGGTTCTTCCTCATTTTCTTTTGTCTTCCAAGGCTGGACTAGTTGGCTGGGAAGAGTTGCTGGATACTCAGGTGAGGGTACAGTGACTGTTTGGCACTCCTTTAATGAATGAACACAACCGTCAACAAAAACAATTTTTTTAAAAGAGAAGAACCATGTTTGGAATCATACTACTTGGATTTGGTACTCATGACTACATACATGATTTTGGGCACATTAATCTTAAGGTTATTTTTTATTTTTTATGTGTATGTGTGTTTTGCCTGCATGCTCATGGAGGCCAGAAGAAGGCATCAGATCCCCTTGGAACTAGAGTTGCAGACAGTTGTTAGCTACTATGTGGAGCTGGGAACTGAACCTTGGTTCTTTGCAAGAACTGCCAGTCCTCTTAATTGCTGAGCCATCTCTCCAGCCCTTGGTTAACCTTCTTACACATCAATTTTGTCATCTGTAAAACTGGGATCTCACTGGGTTGCTGGAAGCATTCAATGAGATAATACACAGACAATGCTTATAATACCTGATGTGGATAAGCAGGAATAAAGCACAGTGATGTTGCTATCATTGTTATTATACCCAGGTGCCTGTGGTGGCTGTGTTAGGCTCTGGAGGTGGAACCCGAGCCATGACTTCCCTGTATGGCAGTCTGGCTGGGCTACAAGAGCTGGGCCTCCTGGATGCTGTGACCTACCTGAGTGGGGTCTCTGGGTCCACCTGGTAAGTAAGGCAGGTCAGAGCACAGAGAAAAAGTAAGCTCTGAAGGGGTAATGGTGACTTTATGATCAGCTGGAGTTGGTAATGATGGGCTGGGAGCCATCTTCAAGGGGATCAGGACTGAGAAGAGGAGGCTGGGTACCAAGGGCCCCTCTGAGTGAGGGTGCAGAGCCGCAGGTATATGTGATGGGAGGAAAGACCTACCCCTAGCTCACAGGCATCCCCTCCATCTCCAGGTGCATCTCCACACTCTACAAGGACCCATTCTGGTCCCAGGTGACTTTGCAGGGACCCATTGAGCATACCCTGGCTCAGGTCTGCAGCAGTAAGATGGGGGCACTGTCCACAGAGCAGCTACAATACTACTCTCAGGAACTGAGGCTCCGGGAGAGCAGTGGCCACAGTGTGTCCCTTGTTGACTTCTGGGCCCTCCTCATTGAGTATTTCCTGAACCGAGAGGTAAGAGAAGGGAAGTTACTACATTCTACCCGCCCCAGTGCTTCCCTTCCCCTACTTTTTCTCCCTTATCCTTTAGGCTAAGGTGTGAGACTTGCAATGCTGTCTCTCAGTGGAAGGGTAAGACACCAGAGTGGAGGGATTACACCACTTAACCCTCAGGGCTCCCAACCCCTGGGGAGGGAGAGCCAGGTCTCAGTTCTCAGATCTGCACGTTGGAATCATCTGCACAACTTTTCAAAAATACCCACGACTGGAATTCACTCCCAAGGATACTAGTCTAGGGTAGAACTCAGCACATGAATGTTTTGAAAATGGTTCCCACCAGCGTCTGAGGCAGAGTGCCATATCTACTCATTAAAAAAGAAGCCCTGACTTACACAACCAGGCAATTGCTCCTAGAACTGTAGGCCCAGTCTGTCCTAGGCAAGAAGGCTCAGAGCAGCTGACCCATGGTGTGTTGCTATCAGTTGTAGGTGTATGCCACCTGTGACCACTTATTTCTAAGTAAGAAGCTACATCATCCAGTGATTTCTTTTTAAATAAATTAGATTGGCTTTTCAATGATCCCCTACAATGTCTAACTCTGTGTGTTTTGATATGCTTTCTGGAATGGGAAAAAAGAAAGGGTTCCTATAGCCCCTGGAACCTCACAGGGGCCCTACTTCTACTGCAGCCTCAAGTTTGTACATTAGAAAGCTGCCTTTATGGCCCTGGCCTTGGCAACTTGGTCTCTCTTGTGGGCACACCACAGTTCACAGGGTGCTTTCAGGCCATAGGGGTGGAGAACAGGGACTGAAAAGCCAAGGTGCCTATCTTCTCTCCTGCCCAGGAAAATCCTGCCAAGCTGTCAGACCAGCAAGAAGCAGTGAGCCAGGGTCAGAACCCTTACCCCATCTACGCCGGCATCAACGTCCACACCAACATCAGTGGGGAGGACTTTGCAGGTACCTGGGCCTGAAGACAAAGGAAGGAGACAGGGAGATGGTGGTAGGAGAGTGGGTGAGGTCAAGGTCAGATACAAGTGGGAGATATAGCCACTTGCAGGAACACTGGTGCACAGTGGGGTTGCTGCCTCCTGCTTTTGGCAAGGCAAGATTCCTACTCAGCCACAAGGGCCCTGTTTACTTTGTCTTCCCCAGAGTGGTGTGAGTTCACCCCCTATGAGGTCGGCTTCCCCAAGTATGGGGCTTATGTTCCCACCGAGCTCTTTGGTTCTGAGTTCTTCATGGGACGGTTAATGCAGCTCAGGCCAGAACCCCGTATCTGCTACCTGCAGGGTAAGTCTGGAGGGCTGGGGACAGCATGGCCCAGGTCAGGCACTGATATAGGGTCCTCCCTATCTCCATAGGTATGTGGGGTAGCGCTTTTGCAGCCAGCCTGGATGAGATCTTCCTGAAGACCGCAGGCTCAGGCCTGAATTTCCTGGAATGGCATAGAGGCAGCGTCAATGTCACAGGTGAGAGGAGAGAGCCTATTCTACTACCACCACTTGCCAGCACTAAGAGCTCTGGCAGAGGGATGGAAAGTGAGGGAGGAAATGGACACAGGATAGTTCATTTCTCACAGCATTCACTGCCCCCCATCTAGATGACTGCTCAAAGTTCCAGTTGCAGGACCCCACAAGGCTGCGCACCAGGCTCTGTACCCCACAGGGCCCCTTTTCCCAGGCTCTGCTGGACATATTCACCTCCCGCTTCACTTCTGCCCAAAACTTTAACTTCACCCAGGGCCTCTGTCTGCACAAGGACTATGTGGCTAGCAGGGAGTTCATGGCCTGGAAAGGTGTGTAGTGCCCTGGTAAGGTAGAATTGGAAATGGGTCCCTCTACACATGCATCTGGCTCGTTAGGGCAGCTTTGGCTTTTACCTGGAGTATTGGAGGGAGTTGAGTTATGGTCTCCTGCTGCTGATGGGGAAGGACTTTCTGATTACTCTGTTCAAAGGTGGAAGGTAGGGTTGAAGGGGCAGGGTGGGAGACTCACTCCATAGTTGTCAGGGGTCAGGAAAATTCTGTGAGGAGACTGCAACTCAAGACTCAAAGTAGGTCACTAGCAAGACGAACTGCACTTTTCCTGTGTACCCTACAGACACACACCCTGATGCCTTCCCCAATGAGCTCACCCCCATGAGGGACTGCCTGTCCCTAGTGGATGGAGGCTTTGCCATCAATTCACCATTCCCACTCATCATACAGCCCCAGCGGGCAGTGGACCTCATTGTGTCCTTTGATTACTCCTTGGAAGCCCCTTTTGAGGTAAAGAAAGGGGCAAGGGGTGCCGAAAGTCGGGGAGGGGGGGAAGAAAGCTCTGATAAAGGGCTCACTTGAGTGTGGCTGTTGCCGCAGGTGGTGGGTGCCTTTATGCTGTTGGCAGCCTAGGTCTGCCAGATGGAGGAGAATTCTGGAATTATGACAGGGAGTAGGAAGAGGAGGTAAAGAGGGTCTCAGGTGTCTTCTCGACTCTCCTAGACCCTGCTCAATTATGGTAGGACTCTTTACTCCAGGATGAGGCCTGGGCTGCTTTCTCTTGTTGCCATGTTAACACCAGCCATCAAGGTCCTCTTTAGGGAGACTCCAGCAAGTTCTTCAAGTTCTGCAGGGCAGCTGATAGATGCCATCAACCAAATGTATGTCTGTGGTCTCTCTTTAATTTTCCTTGCCCAATGAGAGCCTAGAATTGGAGAATGGATAAAACCTCTTCCATCATTGACCTTGTAATCATCATGTCAACCTTTTGAAGTTAAAATCAGGGATCAGAGGAGGGATCAGAGAAGAAACAGCCATGTTAGAGGAGAAATGATGGTGAGAATGAAGATGATACAGAGGACTAGGAGGATTTACTTACTGATTATCAGCCAGTGTTAATTATTACTCATTTACTACAAACTCACTAGACAGTTATGCCCATTTTTATTTAACAAATAGGAAGAAGGCTCAGAAAAGCCACTCAGCTATTCAGAGATTGAGCTAGCATGAAGCCTGGGGTATGTGGGAGTCCAGTTGGGGGTAGAAGTTTGACCCCCTGCACAGGTCTTACAGATGACAGAGAAGTACTGCCTGGATCGAGGGATCCCCTTCCCCAGGATTGAGGTGGGCCCTGAGGACTTGGAGGACCCCCGTGAGTGTTACCTGTTCACCAAGGCGGAGGACCCCCGCTCGCCCATCGTGCTACATTTCCCCCTTGTCAACCGGACTTTTCGCACACATCTGGCCCCAGGTAAGGGGAAGCCCCAAGCCTGCAGGGTTCCTGCAGGGCCTGCACTAGCCACTGCTGCCCTCTGCTGCCAGGACCTTAGTGCTCACATGGGGTCATCTCTTCCTGACAGGTCTGAAAGCTGAGATGGTCCTCCTATAGGAAGCTAGCCATATATCCTGGGGCAGGGAAAGTGTCCAGGGCCATCAGCTCCCAGCCAGTTTTATAGAGAACCCTACATGACCTTGCTTCCATCTTTCCACCCACAGGTGTAGAGCGGCAGACAGCTGAGGAGAAGGCCTTTGGGGACTTTGACATCAATGGGCCAGATACCCCCTATGGCATGATGAACTTCACCTATGAGCCCAAGGAGTTTGATCGGCTGGTGGCCCTGAGTCGATACAATGTTTTGAACAATGTGGTGACTGTGAAGCATGCCTTCCAGCTGGCTCTGGATCGGGGACAGGCTAGGGGAAGGGTTGGTAGCTGACCAGGTGAGAGTCAGAGGACTGATGTGGAGAGGTGATGTAGGACTTGGGGCTTGCTTGCTGTTGGAGGAACAGAGAACCTTAAGGAGTTTCTGTTTTCTGCCTCTCCAGAACCTGACTGAGGTCCCCCAGGCCCAGAATATCTTGCATGAGCTTAGGGCAAACCCATCCCGTTTCTTAGAGAAGATGGAGTGTTCTATCTCTCCAGGGGTACTGCAGGGATACTGGGCAGGAGAAAGCAGAACTCATACTACAGTGTGGAGAGAACAGGCAGCAGTCTCATGACAGGGCCCATTTTCACACAGAAGAACCTCTGAACATCCAGGCACTCAGAACCTTACCACAGAGAAAGTTGTGAGCTGAGGTACTAGCTGCCCTCCTTACACTGAGATTGGGAACAGAGATGCAGCTGCCCATACTTCCACAAAGTGGCCCCAGCCCTGGTCCCAATCCAGAGCTTCTGAACTCACTGTTGTTAAGAATAAACAGGAGCCACATGAGTTGCCAGTCTGTGTCACTGATTCCATGTTCTGCGAATTCTTCTTTGCATTCTGGCCTCTCTGTCCCTTCTCAAAAGTCACTACCCTTCCCTGCTAAGGACTCATGAAGTCTGTGGCACAATAACTCATCCTGGGCTGGGTGGGGTGCACAGTGTTTCACTCTTAAACCTGAACCACATTCTCTGGTCAGGTATACAGCTGCCCAGTCTCAGGAACCAAATAGGTATGTCTAGAGGGGGCATCCAGTAATCAGGGCAGAGTGAACATACAACTGCATACTATGTAGGGTGAGCAAATGAGCCCCTGTCCCTTGGGAAGAGATGGGCAGTGGTAGGGAGAGTCTAGCCTGAGTTCCTGTATCTGATGATCTGAACAGGTTTCTCTCCTTAGTTCTCCTGATCCACTTGGTACCCTCCAAATATTGAGAGCCTCACCAGTGTGGACAGATTTCTGGTGTGAAGAGGAGTTCCATCCTGGTCAGGCCATCTTTACCTGATCTACCTCCAGGGCCCTTTTTTTAACCAGCTCTGCTCCAGTGCCAAGCTACCTAGTGCTGAACAGCAGCTGGGCTGCTGTACTTACCTGAGTCCTTGCTCACACAAATGTGCATACATGCACGCATGAGCTCTCTGGGACCAAACTCACAACTCGCAATTCCTCTTTCAGTCAGGACACCTGTGCTGTGAATTATCACCTGCCTTAACTTTGAGAAGGCCTCATTTCTGACTTAGAAGCGAGTAGTCCCCAGCCATGTCCACTGTCCAGTGTGGCCCAGGTCTCAACCCCCATCCGATGTGAGCAGTGAAGCCAGGGGCTAGAGTAGCCAGTGCCTTGGGCTGGCATAGGGTAGAACAGCCTGGCTTTTCCCTCTCCTCATTGTTGCTGCCTGGCACAGTTCCCCCCACCCCAACCCCTTGGCTTCAGCAGTGAGAGCTTATTTGGGATGTCCTGTTGTGGCCACCATCACTAACTTTTTGGAATGTCATAGTTCTTAGAACTTGGAACTCATGGAGTTCACAGCTAGAATCTTCAGTTTGTCTTTAAGGCCTCTTTGGAAATCAGGCTCAACTGGCTCCCTCCTGTCTGAGGGGAGGGACTTTAATCTGTTTGGGTAGGCACTGAGGGAAGATGGACCAGTTGCTGTAGATGGACTCTGCTGATTTGCTGGGTTTACTGGTCTTCTGTGACTCTTTATCCTTTGGTCGGGGGATGGGGTTCACTATGGTTGCATGTTGGATTCACCTGGGGAACTGTAAAATACCTATGCCAGGTCTACCACAGAGCACATTCCTCATCCCAGCACCCCACCTTGGGTTGCCCCCTCCTCCAATTCTCCACTCTCCAGACCCTAACTAAGGCTTCCACAGTACGACCTAGGCGTGCTTTTGCCTGTGTTTCACCTGACTTGGACTGGCGCCCCGTGACTTTTCCTGACTTACTGGCCTCTGGTGCCTCTGCTGCTCTACTTTTTTTTGCCTTTTCCTTGGCTCCTCAAATACTGCTGGAGTTTTTCAGGGGGTACCTCAGGGTCTCTAAGGTCCCATAAAAGCTACAGTTCCGCTATTTTCCATCAGCCATCCCTACCTCTTGGTTTCAAAAAATTGTCTTCTTGTCATTGTTGCTTGAGACAGTCTTGTGACATGACTCAGGCTGACCTCATATAGCCTTAGCATCCAAAGTGCTGAGAGTACATGCCAAGCTGCAAAATAATCTTTTCAAAGGGTTTCAAAGTCAGTTCCATTTTGAGATATACTTTTATGGTTTACTATGCTTTTTCTTTCCTCCTCCCCTTTCCAGATTTCTTATTGTATTAGTTCATTTTTCGTCACTATAAAGAAATACCTGAAGCTAGTTAGTTTATAAAGAAAGGGTTATTTTGGCTCTGATTCAAGAAGTACATGGTTCAGAGGCCACATCTGGGGATGGCCTTTGTATTAGTTACTATTTTTGTTACTGTAATGAAATACCTGACAAAACTTAAGGATTTATTTTGGCTCACAGTTTGAGATTAGAATCCATGATGGAAGGGAAGTCGTAGTTGGGAGGAGCTTGAGAGAGCTGGTCACAGCAGTCAGGAAGCAGAGAGAGATGAATGCTGGTTCTTGGCCTGCTTTCTCCTTTTTAGTCAGTGAAGGGCCGTGGTCCATAGCATGGTGCCAGCGGCATTCAGGGTGGGTACTCCCTCCTCAGTTAAACTTTTCTGGAAACACCCTCATAGATACACTCAGAGGTGTGTTTTCATGATCAAGTTGACAGTAAAGATGAATGGTCACAGCCTTCTTGTGGGAGGTCTTGAGATAGCAAATGTATCATGTGGGAAGGGACAAGCATGTGGCTATGTATATGCACATTTTTTTTCTGGTCTGTCTCTTACAAAGCCATCAGAATTCAATTCTTGGGGCTCTACCCTGATGACCTGTATAATTCTAATCCCTTCCTAAAGTTCCCTCCTTTGTATACCATAGATTATATTTCCACTCAATACTTTATAATGAGGTCTAAATTTCAGTGCATGTAGCTTTAGGGAACTCAAGCCATAGCACTGATTCAGTTCTTTTCCACTGTAACCCCTCAGCTACATTGGAGGTTATAATTCTGTTTGCAGTGTTCTGGTGATTCCTCTTACCAATTTCATATAGTTGACATATATAGCCTGGGTCCATTCTAAGTGTACAGTAAATATACATTTCTGTAATCCCAGCATTCAGGAGGTAGAGGCAGATCAAGAGTTCAAGATCACCTCTACTACATAGCAAGTTTGAAAAGGCAGGCCTACATTACATAAAACCTTGTCTCAAATTTTTTTTTAAATATATATTATTTTTATTTTGTGTATATGGGTGTATTCTTGCATGTATATAAGTGCACCCATGTCATGCAATGCCTGAAGTCAGAAGAGGGTGATGAATCCCCTGGAACTGGAGTTTTAGATGGCTGTTAGCCACCATGTGGATGCTGAGAACAGAGCCCAGATCCTCTGCAAGAGCAGCCAATGTTCTTAACTGCTGAGTCATCTCTTCAGCCCCTTTAAAAAATTTTAAATAAAGCATATAGTTGACTGAATTTTGACACGTAACTATCACCATAATCAAGATAGAGCAAGGCAGGCCCATCGAAGGGAAAATACCCAGGTGGGACCAATCAGGTGGAAGAAGGAGTCAGGAAAGGGAGGGCCCCAGGATTCTATAAAATGCTTAACCCAGAGCCCCCGACACCCCCAGGACTCCCAGTCCTGGGTCCCCTCCTGTCCTCATGGGAGCTGCCTGCTCTAATAGTTTGTTGTTTTCCCTCTCTCCCTCCCTCTGCAGCTGCAGCTTCTTGCATTCCTGTTTTTAGTCTGCACTTTCATTTTCCCTGAAGTACAATTCTTTGTTCGTCCCACCACCATACCAAACAATCTCAGCCCTCATAGTAAAGCCCCATAATAAGAAATCATGTGGATATGCCACAATTCGTTTATTCCTCTGGGGATGGAAACTTAGGTTATTTCTAGTTTTTTAACTTTCATTAAGCTTTTAATTCTTAAATTTTTATTTTAACAACTCTGTTACAGGCCAAGTATGATGGTATACTTCTTTAATCCCAATACTTGGTTGGCAGAAGCAGGTGGATCTCTGTGAGTCTGAGGTCAGCCTGGTCTACATAGCCAGTTCCAGGCCAGCCAGGGCTACATAGTGAGATCCTGTCTCAAAGCAAACCCCAAAACACTCTGTTAAGTCAGTCCCTATTTTCGTTCACCAAACAAAACAAGTAAATTAAGTAAATTAACATGCTTTTAGTTTTTGTATTTTTTTTACTCTACATGCCCCCCAACCTTTTAAAAAATATTTTATTTATTTATTTTATGTTTATGAGTATATTACCTACAGGTATATAAGTACACCCGTGTTGTGCAGTGCCCATGGAGGTCAGAAGAGGGTGTCAGATCCTCTGAAACTGGAGTTACAGACAGTTGTTAGCTATCATGTGTGTGCTGGGACTCAGACCCGGTCCTCTGCAAGAGCAGTCAGTGCTCTTAACCACTTATCCATCTCTCCTGCCCCATCCCCAAACTTTTTAACTACTTGAAAGTATATTTCTTTTTTCATTCTTTTAAAAAACTTTGGTGTGGATGTTTGTGTGGTACATGTACATAAGCGCACAGGTGGGAACACCCATGTGCACACTCAGACCAGAGCAGGATGTCAGGTGTCCTCTATTGCTCTCCACCTTATTGCCTTGAGACAGTTCCAGTTCTCACTGAACTGGAAGCTTGCACTACATATATACCCCTGTGTCTGGCAGGATTTATGTCTTTTTGTAACTCTAAGAAGTTGTCTACTAATTTTATCAAACCCTCTTCCATCAGGCATGACCATGCATGCCTCTAGTTCCAGCTACTCAGGAACCTAAGGAGGGTAAGTGTGAAGCCAGCCTGGGCAGCACAGAGATTCTTGCAACAAACCACTGCTCTTCATCATCTCCTTCTGGAATTTCCCTTATGAAAGGAGTAGAATCTGTGGTCTGTATTGCCTTTCCTTTTACACATTCTTTTTTTTCACTGTGCTGTGTTCTGAGGGGTTTTCTTACACAGGTTTTTCCCTCATGAATACATCTTTACCTGTACCCACTCTGCTTCTTATCTCTCAGGGCTATTCTATTTAACTTTTGACCATGTTTTCACATTTTCAGTTTTCCAATAGGATCTTTTCCAAAATAACTGGTTTTTGTTGCACAGCCAGACAAATAGTCTCTGTGTCTTTAACTCTGATGTTAATAGATGGACTTGGGGGCTGCAGAGATGGCTCAGCAGTTAAGAGCACTGGCTGCTCTTGCAGAGGACCCAGGTTCAATTCCCAGTACCCACATGGCAGCTAACAACTGTCTATAATTCCAGTTCCGGGGGATCCAACACCCTTTTCTGACCTCTGCGGGTATTGCACAACACGAGTGCACTTACATGCAGGCAATACACTCATTCACATAAAATTAAAATAAGATATTTATTAGATGTATTTTAA